GATTTTTAGTTGCAACTAGTTGATTATATTAAAAACAACTAATCGATTAGAAAAATTTTTGCCAACTAAGATCACTATCCCGCACTTACAGTTACTTTATGCAACATTAATTGCTGTTCACAAAAATCAGGTTGGAAAAACAAAATTTTTTGTGCACAACAATCTAATCTTGTCAAATTATCGTGTTTCTCTGAATATTCCTTACATACTAAACAAATTTTTTTTGATAGCCATAAGTTACATTTCGTAAGTACTTGTTTAATACCTTTAGGTTGACCTCTTAATTTTTCGATCAGATAATTACCAGGAAATATCATTAATTGCATATGTCTTTTGCCACTTTTATCGACATACCAACCATTGCACATCTTAGGTTGTGTACCTTCAGAACTCAAATTCATTTTCATCATGATTAGGGTATCATTTGCTATAGTATTGTGATTGATGGATTGATCAAAACAAAAAATGTCAATACATCCAGGATGTAATACTTCGAATATTGGTATTGCTTGATGTACGAGCTAAAGATAATTAGGTTTGATTAAAATTTAAAATAAATTAAAAAAAAGCCCAAACCTGGTTTAACATATATTCTGATCTCCAATATTCATCTTCTTGAACAAAACGAAGAACAAAACTTTCCTGATGTTTAATATACAGATTGACTTGCAATTGATGTTCAGATAATCGCAATAGACTATGACATGGGCATAAAAAAGTAGAAACCATAATGGATCATCCTAAATATTTCGAGCATAAGATATTTTCTTTTTCTTGAATCCAAATTCTCTATTGACTATCATTTGCATAAAAGTGACATTCGTCATGTGTTACTTGAACAAACTTCTTTTTTCCTGGTTTAAGCTAGGGTTCTACTATAATATCTAATTTATCACCATCGAAATCTTTCATACTTTTCTTATATACAAATATTTGCTTCAGCCATTCTTTCCTATATGTCATGACATTGGGTTGTTCATGTCCATCATAATAAATACCCTTTCCTTTTTTATTATACCTGTATCCCCAAGAATACATATAATTTCAATATATCTTTTTAGAGATGGTATCTTTTTTAATATAGCCTGTCAATTTCGGAAATAATATGTCTTCGATATATGCTTTTAAGTTTCTTGGGGAATATATTTTCAGTTTTTGTTGCTGTATCCATGCCTTGCAACCTTCAGCAAAATCTTCATCATCTAATAAACTCTGAAGTTTCATGTGTTTTCTTTGATAATAGGTAAAAAGTATTCTGGTCTGTATAAAATGACTTCTCCACTTTCGGATATACGTAGCCATGTAATCTCCTTTGTACCATATTGTTTGAGCGATTCGGCGACTAGCATCCATCTTAGTTTGTCTATTCAATAACAACTGTATAAATCGGTAAATACTGAGAAGGTATAAATAGTCATATGTAAAGATTTTATTGTTTTTTTTTATGGATTTTTCTATTGAACATTGTTGATTAAGTTCTTCAAGACGAGTAAATAATAATAAAAATGGACAATAATATAATAGGCGAGAACGTGATGGGCAAGAATGTGATAGATGAAGATGCTGTGTAGGTAAAGCTGTTTGGAAAAACATATTAATTGGATTCATTTCTTTAACATGTTCTGCATGTTTTTTTTTTTCTTTATCCCATCTCCATAATGTTGTTATTGAGTTTCCAGTATATGTGGTTCTAAGATTACTTCCAGCATTATCATTTCAGATGAGAAATCTTTTTCCTACATTTTCAAATTCTCTCAAGTCTTAATTCATCCATTCTTCAGAAACTTTTTGGATATTAGTGGCTGCCTCTGTAATATAAAAGTTTTCTTCATCATATAGGTTAGTGGTATCAATAGTTGTTTCTGCAATAGTTTGATTTTTATCACTGATGCCTGCAACTATTCCCACAGTAATTTGATGTTCATTATTGGTCACAGTAGTTAGTTCCATGGTAATTTAATTTTTATTGTTAGCAATAATAGCTCTCCAGTGACAACAGCATCTTCTGTGACAACAGCTTCTCCAGCAATAACAGCTTTTTTTGCAACAACTTGATATTCCTCATTGATCATAGTGTTGATAGTAGTTTCCACAACAATTTGATGTTCTTTTTAAGAAATATATTGACACTTCTTCCTTGGTAAATTACTTATCTGCTTTTGTCACTTTGTACAGGATGTCACTAAAATGATTAATTAGATTTTCAATTAAATGTATATGATATAAATTTATTAAAATTAATCAATCAAATTAAAGTCACATGATATGAATTTGTTTTAATTTTGACAAAAACATAATAAAATACTTGAAAGTACACAAATTTAAAACACTTATAACTTTTTATTAATAAGTTTTTTTAAAATTT